GGGGGATGGGGGAGATACCTGTAGGCATGGTCGAAGAGAAGGTCTTCAGGTGGGACCTGAAGTTGGGGAAGGAGGGGGCAAGGCGGAGGGAGAGAGGAAGAGTGTTACAGAGTTTCGGGGTGAAGTGGCTGAAAGCGTGGCCACCGATGGTGGAATGGAGGGCATCGTGGATGTGCAGAAGGCGGAACCAGTTGAGTGAAGGCAGTGGGTTGGGGATTGGGGTTCCGCAGAGGTCGGAGAGGTAGGGAGGTGTCAGGGCATGAAGGGATTTGAATTACAAGTGCGAGGAAATTGAAATCTTGACGCCCACAGTATTGAAGGGTCAGTCGCAGCATGGATACCGAACTGGGTGGGAGACAAAAAGCAGATAGTGGTGGTGAACGGTTGTTTCTCAGATTGGAAGTAAGTATTGAGTTGTGTTCCCCAAGGACAGTATTAGGACCACCGCTTTTTTGGTCTATATAAATGACCTGGACTTGGGTATAGGGAGTACAATTTCCAAGTTTGCAAATGGTACAGAGCTTAGAACAGTAATAAATGGCGAGGAGGGCTGTAGCAGACTGCAACAGGACATGGACAGACTGTATATTTGTGGAGTAGAAGTTTGATCTATGTGTGCTACTGCCTCAAGGTACTTGCACTAACAGGTTTACCAGGGAATCAATTGTAGCTCGAACATGATCATTAGCTGCAAAAATAGAGCCGCTTCACGTGGAAACCAAAGGGTTTATTGACCCTCTCTGAGCAGCCGGTGCTGGTCAGCTCGAAGCAACAACAACAACAACAACAAGATTCCATTTATAGAGCGCCTTTCACGTCGGGAGGACGTCCCGAGTTGGGTCAGTGAGTGTTTACACAAACCAGAGCGCGAGCGGGCAGTGAATTCAAACTGCTCGGAGTCGGTGGCTGCAGTCTGCGATGTTTAAAGTTGCTGCGCTGCATCAATTTCTTTTCTCTTGTGTTTTTTTCAACGAACCCACCCTACTCTCTCCCTCAACTCTCGTTAATCTCTTTATTTGAGAGAACAGCATTTTGACCCGTCCGGACTCCTCACGAGTATCAAGGAAACTAAACTGTTTGAGGGCTTCCAGATTAGCCAAAAAGTCATCTCCCTGTTTGGTCTGGAGGCATATCGGTGAGACACAAGGATCTATATGTTGCACCATCAGTTGTCTCATTGCTTTCAACTCCTTCTGTAATCTTTCAAATTCAGAAGTAACCATTTGTCCCAATCTTTCTTCCAAATTTGACGCCCAGGTTATATTATTATTTTTATTAATTATTATTCATTTGCTTTTATTGTCTCTCGTTGAACACTATCAAAAAGCCTGATAATAATCCCTAAACAAAAATCAATCATGAATTGGTCATTTCAATCCACGACTGTCTGTGGGACATTGCTGTGCGCAATTGGCTGCCGCGTTTCGCCCACAAATATACTGCAGTCAATTCACTTTACAGTGTGTTCTGTGAAGCGCTTTGGGACGTCCTCCCCATGTGAAAAGCGCTATATCAAGTGCAACGATTATTATTATTATTATACATTTCTTTTCTTGCTTCATCTGGTTCTGAGTTAAACTTCTCAGATCCCTGTTTAGTTTCTCCCAACATCTCTCTTTCACATTTCAGTTGTTCCTCCAACTGCAGCACCTTTCTGTGACGCTGTGTATGTGACACAGGATCCTGTCTAGATTCCCCGACCAAAGCTGCCTGTGGTTTTACAGTAGCTTTTAAGGGTGAGGAACGGGAGGTTTTACTGATTTGAGGACCACCTCCAGTCGCCTCCTGGAGGGTTAATAATAGCGGACACGGGGCGGGGGAATTTACTTCAGCCACTTGGCCAATCGAGCGGCCCCCAGTAATTTGTCTGGTGCCCCCATTTTCTGCACAACATCCTGAAGTTGATCTGTCTGAGCCTGTAACTGTTCTGTCGATTGGTTACCGCCCTGTGTCTGACTCGGCCATTCTTTTGCCCAATGCCCGTTCTGACCTCAAGCAAAACATTGACCTGCTTCAGGTTGTGGATGCCCCCCTGAGTTATACCCGACACCTTGACCGCGTCCACGTTCTTGGCCCCTAATAACCTTGGCCTCCGCCGCGATTGTTACGTCCATATGATCTATTCTGTCCTCACTAATTTCTCCCTTTTCCGGGGTTATTCATGGGACTCTGTCCTTCTACCTCATGGACCGATTGTAGTTCTCTTTTAACCTCCAACATGCCAGTGGGGCTGTTGTGATCCTGGCTTGCTCAGTCCTCTCCATAACTTCTTCCAACCAGTGCGCGGATTAACCAATACTCCTAGGGCCATTTTAATAGATAGTAACAATTTTAGGAGAAATTGGTTTTTATATCCCTCCATGTCTGTGATTGCGGTCTGATCTGGATTATTCCCCTGAGTTGGACAATAAAGTTCCACCAGACGCTCATGGAATGCCCGTGGACTTTCATGCTTGACCTGTGATGTTTTCCCCAATTCAGTGTACACGTTCCCAGGAGGTACCTACACCCAGTGCCTGTTTGACGGCAATCATAAAGTCAGCGGATGGCACGGTCGTGGCGAAATTTACACAGGGTATTTTATTCTTTAACTCAGTACTGAGAGAAGCCAACAGAATACGCCTGAGGTCTGCATCCTCCAATTCAGGATGACAATCCTTTAACAGCGTCCATCGGATATTCACCTCAGTTGGTTTGGATTTACCGTTGATCGGTCCCAACTCTCGAGCATAGTCTGCACATTCTCCGCTATTCAATGCCCTACTGTGATTTCGGCGTCTGGCTATAGCGTCTCTGTCGCCATCATACTCCAACATGCGTGTCATTAGGGAGACCTGAGGGGGATCATATCCCTCGTCAACCTGGCATCGGGAGGTTTTATCTTCTAAACTATCTCTTCCTCCTGTTACAGCCTCTACCATAACCTGTCTTCCCCTAAGCTTTTGTTTCAATCCTTGTATTTCTATTTGACATTGTCGATGGTCACATTCCTTTCCTTTAGTCTGTTCTATAAATTCCCGGATTGCTCCCCTCGCATCTTCTAACTTTTCTTTTAACTCCTTATTTTTGTCCATAAGTTGCTTCACCAGCCATGTATTCTCTTCATTGCTTCACTGTTCGGCATTAGCTAAGTTCAGCGCTCCCTGCTGGCTGTCCATTAAGATCCCCATTTCTCTTATTTTATATTGATAATTTCCTTCCACTTCCCTCCATTGAGCCCTTTCTGGCCCGTATTTCTCCCTTTCCGCGTACAATTCTATCTTATTCGCTCTTTCTCCTCCAAGGCTCGCTTCAATTGAGCCACTTCACGCTCCTTTCCTTCCAAGAAAGATTTTTCTATTTCGCTTCTTTCTTTTAATTCGTTTTCTTTTCCTCTGATGTCTGTCTTAATTGGATCATTTCTACTTCACGTCTTTCTCTTTCTCCCTTTAATTCATTCTCCTTTACTTCAAACAGAGTTTTCTCCATTGCACGTCTTCTCGCTCTCTCCCTTTAATTCATCCTCTTTTTCCCCTGATGCTTTTTCTAATTTCTTTAATTCTCCTCTGGGTCCCCAAACATCCTCTCCACATGGCGTACTTGACTAAAGATCTGCAACTCTTTCCTCCTGTGTTTATTTCTCCCTCCTCTATCCACGTCATTCCCTGTTCAAAGGGTTTTGGTGACCCCTGGATGTTGTATTTCTAAATGATCGGCCTTCTGTTCTGCGTTTTTGCACAAGTCTTGCCCGAACCAATACTTCAGCCAAGACTCCCCGAGTCTTATTGAATAACACAAAACTTAGCCGAGTTTTTCTTCTTGTGACTCCGAGTCAATGCTTATGACTCCCTGAGTCCGATCAGGTAGACCTTCCTTGGTCTATGCTCAACTTAAACGCCCGAGTTTATTCTTATGGCTCTCCGGCCTCTCTCAGTTACTGATGACGATAATCTCTATCACTTGTCGGGTCCCTTCGTGGTCACCAATGTGTTGGGATTTCCGATCCCGAGGTGCAAATAATGACCCGACAATCCAATTAAGGTGTAATCGAGATTTATTAACCAAAGTAACACACACAAAAGAAGTAAAATAATACTTCCACTGCAAGTAACAGAACTTACACTTCCAGTTTTCGAGCAGTCAGTCAGTCAGTCAGTTGCGATGGTTTCAGCACCATCTCTCCGATGGTTCGGCTGCGCTCTATGTCTGGCTGGATCTGCTGTCTTACTTCCCCACTTCTCCAATCAAGCATCTTAGCGCGTAACCAACATACTCGACCCTCGCACATCCTTGTAGCCATAGCTTCTAGATAAGCAGCCCCTTTTGACACAAAGCAGCTTACACATTATTCTTCAACACAGGATAACTTACTTTTTTCCTTCCAAGGCTGGGGCCGGTCTCTGTCTGTTTTATGTCTTCCCTCTCCATCACAACTGACTGACCGTTGACCTTTTAGAACCAGGATGGCTCATTCTGCAAATTCTTAAAATGTTAACAGTTTCTAATTAGGACTAACAGTTTCTTTCTCTCCTATCCCTGTACCGTCTTGCATATATGGGTATTAATTCCCATATTGTTTACAAATTATATTGAAATCAACCTTTTCTAACAGAAGGGAGCAGATTATGTCCTGCAGCATCAACACCTCTGATCTCATCATCTCTTGTCCTCGACCTAAATGTCTCCTTTGTCTTTCTTTCCCCGCCACCCCTTCTCGGCTTGTCTTTATAATCTGAGGAACAAAATCAGTTATTCGTTTCATGGCTATTTGGGCGACACTGCTGTCCACAAATTGGCTGCCGCATTTGACCCACAAAATACAATCAAACCAATTTGCAATACAGCCTGTGAAGTGCTTTGGGACGTCTCAATGATGTGATTAGGCGCTATATCAAATGCAAGGATTATGGTTTTATTATGTGAAAATCTAAGTAGTTTGGTTTGGATATTCTTGATGATGGGATTTCAAAATGTGAGAAGACCAGAAACAATTTCTTTGTCTTTTCTCCCACATTTCGCAGCTCTGTGGAGGACTCCTGCTTATTGTGACCTTGGGAATTTGTTTCATTTTTACCTGCAAAGTGACTGAGACTGAAAGTGAAGCCACAGTCGGAGGAACAGAGAATGGAAACACAGCGACAGGACAAACTGGGAGAAAAGACACAGACAGCAATCGGGGAATGGAGCCACAAGATGCGGAAAGAATATCACTGATATCATCCTATAGCATGGCACCCATGGGCCCCAGCCCAGACCCGAGCCCAGCTCCCAGCCTGGCCCCCAGATCAGCTCTGAGGCTTCCAAGAGGTGGCCCAACAGCACCCTGAGCACTCTGCCAATTCCCCACAATTTTATTGGTTTCTTTTGCTTTCCCTTAGAGGGGCTGCCAAACCTACGATAGCCCTGGAACCCCATCAAGGGCAATCCATCCCTGCTCCCAGCACTTGGATATATAAAAAATAATAATAATAATAGGGTCACCCAATCCACGACTGTTTGTGGGCCTCTGCTGTGTGCAATTGGCTGTCATGGATTGAGTGACCAAATTATTTTTTTTATTGCACAGTAGTATACTTTATACGCAGAAAACATGTACTATACAATGAACAGTATAACAAACAGATGTCAAAATAGATCTGTTTTAATAAAATATAAGCTCCATTATTAATGCTGTAACCGTATTATCAATCACATTTCAAGTAAACGTTAGGTCAGATGTAAACACCTCAAATCATTTTATTGCCCTTTTAACCGTAATATCAATCAAGTAAACGTAAACACCTCAATTCGCTCTGTCTGACCTCCCCCATTCCAAGTCTGTGGCTTCAAATTAAATTTGGAGGCAATGCCACTTTATCATTTCACAGAATTGGAGCCTCTGGTACTTCTCCTGAAAGACATTGGGACTAATTTGCATTTAGTTGGGCGATCTGCATTGCCTGATCATCAAAACTTTGTCTTTCGTACTTGTTCACTGTTCCGTGCGGCACATGCGATTTTTCGGCATTGCAACAGGTAAATTTGCATGTAGTGACAGGTTGGCAACAACAACCTTCCCTTATCCAGCACCTTTCAAGTCAGGAGGATGTCCCAAGGTGCAAGGGATCCGAGCTGGTGTTTGGGATCAGGAGGGTTGGAGGGTGGGGAGGGTAGGAGTATGAGGGTGACCAAAGGTGTGGTCAAAGAGGAGGGTCTTGAGACGGATTTTGAAGGAGGCAAGGGAGGGGGGGGGGGCGAGGTGGAAGAACTGTGGGATAGCATTTCAGAGGGTGGGGGCAGAGAAGCTGAAAGCCCACCAATCAATAATGGAGTGAAGCAGGTCGGAGCTCGGTGTACGGAGGGCGTGGACAGGTTGTAGGGGGTTAAGAGATAGGCAAAAGTGAGGCCGTGTAGGGCTTTGAAGGCGATGACCAGGATCTTGAACTGTATCCTCTGAATGATGTGAAGCCAGTGGAGTCGGCCAAGGATTGGGGTAATGGGGTTGTGGAGCCTCGTGTAGGAGAGGGCACGGGCTGCAGAGATCCGGACGATCTGCAGCCTGTGAAAAGGATGAGAAGCACGGAGTTTGCATAGTTGAGCCTGAACGTGATGAACGCATGAATGAGGGTCTCGGCGGCCTGGGGTGAGAGCCAGTTGCAGAGGTGGGGAAAGGCGGAGTAGGTCATGGCATTTATGTGAGGGATGAAGGACAGTTGAGGGTCAAACAGGACGACGAGTTTCCCTATTGGCTCCTTATTGGCACTTAGGTTCCCACAATTTATGTCTCATGTGTGGCACTGTGTAGCTTCTCCAAGGCTGGTTAATGTAAATTCAGTGAAGGGTCCCAAGTAAAGTCTAGTGTCTCTACACTTTGTGGGCAAATACTTAAATATAATGAAATTAAGAAATTAATGCTCGATTAAATAATTGATGTTCACATTCTTTGATGGGTAGCTGCCAAGGTATGTGAAATGGTTTACATTCAGTAGAGTAGTTCAATTTATGGTTATTGAGGTTTTGGAAGCATAACAATGAGCTGAGTTGGACAAATTGGAATAAATAAGTAAACAAATAACACTAAATTGCACTGCGGAAGTACCAAAGGATATCTATATAGGTATTGCATAAAGTGTAGCAGTTCTACTGCACTGAAAGGAAGGATCAATCTGTTGGAATTACTGAATTGTAGAGAAGGTCTCCCTCACTGCAAGAAGTCTCTGGAAGATTGTTGTAGTTCAGTGCATCTTCAGGGTTTCTGATGATCATAAACACAGGTAAGAGAGTGATGATTGAGGCAGCAGAACACGGACTGAGCAATCTGTATTGAAATGCAGAGAGAGAGAAAGAGAGGCACAGAGTGAGTGAGAGAGAGAGCGAGAGGGGGGCGCACAGAGAGAGGCACAGAGAGAGATGCACACAAAGAGACAGAGGAAAAGAGAGAAAGGCGCAAGGAGGAAGAGAGGCACAGAGAGAGAGAGAGAGAGAGAGAGAGCACAGAGAGAGAGAGGCATTTTCATCCTTTCCCATATTCAAGTTGCACCTGAAGACCTGAGAGGACAGGTAGTGGAGAAGAATAGAGTTGTCGATAGTATTGAAGGCAGCAGAGAGATCGAGAAGAACAAGGAGATGGAGAGAGATCCCTGGTTACAGATGGATAGAACGTCATTTATAACTTTGACCAAGGCTGTTTCCAGGTTGGAGGGTTTCATACAGGGAGTGTCGGGAGAGGAAAGAGCAAAACTGGGAAACAATGACTCATTTCAGGACCTTGAAGAGAAAAGAAAGGCAGGAGATAGGGAGGTAGTTGGATTACAGAGATGGCTCGGGGTTTATGAAGGTGGGCTTGATGGCAGCGGTTTTTAAGAGAATGAATAAGGTGCCAGTGGACAGAGAAAGGTTGACAATGTCTATTTGTAGTGGGACAAGGAAGTGGAGCTGGGACGTAAGGAGAGGGATAGAGATGGGGTCAATAATAATAATAATCCTTGCATTTGATATAGTGCTTTTCACGTCTTCACAGATTGTATATTTGTGGGCGAAATGCGGCAGCCAATTGCACACAGCAGTGTCCCACAACAGTCATGGATTGAAGTAACCAATTTATTATTGTTTTTTTTTCTTGAGGGTTTATTCTCAGGCATGTGGCGTAAGGAAACTTGCCCAAGTCAGGTCAAGGGAGCAGGTGGTGGGATTCATTTGGGAAATGGTGAAGAGAAGAAGGAGAAACAGGGTCAAAGGTATGGGGGAGAGATGGGTGGGGACTGGAGGGGGGGGCGGCAATGGAAAGGGCAGAGGAAGCAGAGGGGATTGGCTCAAGTTTGGACTCAAGGAAGTTCTATCATCTCCTTACACTTGGAGGAGAGGATGGGCAAGGCATGGGAAGGTGGACAAAGGAGCTGGTTCGTGGTGGAAAAGAAGAGCCTGGGGTTGACCTTGGCCAACGGGATGATCTTGGAGTAGAAGGAGGATTTATGTTTATTTATATTTATTCAAGATCCTCACCTCACCTACAAGGCCATTCACGGCCTCGCTCCCTCCTACCTCTCCGACCTACTATCCCCCTACCTACCTGCCCGTACCCTCCGTTCCTCTGGCTCCGGTCTACTCCACATCCCCCGCCCCAACCGCCCTACCATCGGTGGCCTTCAGCCCTCAGCCCCGAGGCTCTGGAACTCTATCCCCCAGTGCCTTCGCCTTGCTTCCTCCCTTTCCTCCTTCAAGGCCGGTCTCAAGACCTTTCTATTTGTCCGTGCCTTCAGCTCCCCTCTCGACTCTCTACCCCCTCCTCTCTCGCTCCCTCCCTTCCCTCCCCTCATCCTGACCATTTTCCCCCTGCTCCGGTCCTGACCCAACTGTACAGCGCCTTGGGACGTCCTCCCGACGTGAAAGGCGCTTAATAAATGGAATCTTGTTGTTGTTGTATGTGAAGTAAGAGCATCGTGGTTGGTTATGAATTGGTCCAGCGAGTTCTGGCAATTAATCTATTAGGTAGGATTTGTGCCAGGTGTGTTTAGTGACACACACCTGAGACTTGAGGGAGTGGAGGTGACTGGTGTATTAGGGGGGGACATGCAAGAGTAGGAGGCGTTGATGGGAGGTGATGTGGGCAACAGTGTCAAGGATGACAGAGAGGGAGTTGTGGAGAAGAGTGACTGAGGAGATAAGGTCGTTACAGGAGGAAGACCAGAGGGTCATGAGTTCAGATGTCTCTAGGGTGATGGCGAGAGGAGTGGGGGTAGTTTTTTGTTTCTAGGCAATCGAAGAGAGTTGAGTGATAGGGAAGAGGATGGAGGAGTTAAGGGAGATGAAATCATAGAGAGAAGAGCAAAGAGAGAACTCAAGCGAAAGAAAGAGAGAGAACGAGAGACACACACACACACACAAGGAAAGAGAGGAGGAAGGGGAGAGGGGGAGAGTATTAAAGAGAGAGAAAATACATTTTGCAGATACATTAATAAATAAAAATGGATTATGTATTACTTACCTAGTTTCCAGACAGCAGCACAGCTAAGAACACAGCCAAACCAGGAGAGAGGTGACAATGTAAATCCATGTGTGTACAAAGTTCTGACCCCCATCTACAACACAGGTCACCAGTCACCAACCGCACCGAGAACTCGCAGGACACATAATAATGATATTGTATTTGATATAGCGCCTTATCGTGTATTCGAGACTTCTCAAAGCGCTTCACCGATTATACTGTAAAGTGAATTGACTGTGAATTTTGTGGGCGAAATGCCGAGAGGGTCCCATAAACAGTCATGGATTGAACAGACTATTCCTCTCTCTATTGCCGTATAGCTCTGCCAAATTTTCCTTTTCAACTGCGTATCCAATTCCCCTTTGAAAGGCAATAAGCATTCCAGAGGGTAATAACTCTCTGGGGAAAAAAATTGTCTCCTCAACGCCCCGCTGGTTCTTTTTTTGAGTCACCTTTCACCGCCAATGGCCTGAACTCACCACCAATGATCAGGTTGAAATGGGTTTGCCGGGAGCTGACACGGTTTTCCACGGAGCAGGAAAAGTTCCCGTTGTGAGTCGCAGTGGCATTCCTGATGAGCAGGGTGGTGTTGTCGCTGGATAAGTGGCAATCAGGGGGCAGCGGCAAAGCTTCCTTCATCCACCTGCGTGTCAGGTTAGACCCTGAGGCAGCACAAACCAACTGCACGTCCGGCAGAAAGACTGAGGCGTTTCTCTGTATGTTGGGTGCAGAGACTGGAGCTGGTGGGAAGGAGAAGGAAAAGTTCTTCTAAGTCACAGCCCTGCCGCCCCACCTCCCTACCTACACAGCCCCGCCCCATCTCCCCACACAGCCCCGCCCCTCATAGTGCAGCCCCACCCCAAGACAGGGTTTTAGCCAGTAATAATAATAATAATAATTCAGATTGTTCAGATGTCTCAAAGAGCTTCACAGAATATACGGTAAAGTGTGGCGATTGAGTAGTTTGTGGGCGAAACGCGGCCTCCAATTGTGCACAGCGGTGTCCCACCAACAGTGGTAGACTGACAAAATATTATACGTTTTTTGAAGGGATTATTACCCCCAGAAAAGCAATCTGCCAAACGACTAACAACCGGGCTCCTACTTCCTGCTAGGTAAACAGTAGCGTGGAGAGTAAGGAAACTTGCCTCGGGCTTTGCCCCCACCCGGGGGTGGGGGGGGGGGGGGGCGAGCGCTCTAATCACTACACTTCTGTGAGGCGAGTGCTCTAACCACTACACTACAGGAGTCTACAAACGGCTGGAGGAGAGGGTTAAGCATTCAGGGTATCGGTTGGGAATTCCGCAAACAGGCAACGGTGATGAACGACGACTGGCGTCAGAGTCTTGCTGAAGGACACACGGCGACTTACTGAGCACGTGCAGCCTGTAGAACTTCCTTGCTCCCAGGTTGATTCGAAAACTGTAGATGGCTTGGTCACTGAGGCGGACCTCGTGTAGGCGAAAGACTCCGTCCGCCAGGAGAGCCCAGAGCGATTCACAAACCTTGAGGTCAGCTCCACTGGACTCCCTCGGTAGTAATTTAACAACATGGTGTTTGTAGCTCCATGGTGCACATCGCACAGCACCACGTTCACTTCGGGCCCGTCCAAGGGTCCCAGAGCAGGGAACTGCACATCATTCCCCTCTGCAACAAACACATCCTGCACCGGGTGCGTGTCGACTTCTTCCTGTGCAAACACTGGAAACAGACAATAACCTCCATTACAACTTGCACTTACACAGCACTTACTCACGCAGGAATGCTTGGCAGTGGCGGAACATGACGCCAACCTGGTGGGGTGGGGCAGCGACTGTAGGAACGGTCAAAGAGGAAGGTCTTCGGGTGCAACCTGAAGATGGGAAAGGCAGAGGGATTGAGGGAGACTGTTCCAGAGTTTCGAGGCATAGAGGTTGAAAGTGTGTCACAAAATAATAATCCTTGTGGGTTTGGTGTTGCACCTGATCACCTCATTGAGACATCTCAAAGTGCTTCGCAGGATATACTGCAAGGCTTTTATCTTATGGGTGAAACGCGGCGGCCAGTTTGCGCATAGCAATGTGCCACAAACAGCCATGGAGTGAGGGACCAATTTTATTCGGGGGGATTGTTGGCCAGAACACCGGGAGAGAGAAACTCCCTTCTCTTTCGAATAGGGCCATGGAACCTTTACCGTCTCTCTGAAAAGGCAGTCGGGATCTCAGTTTTTACAGCTCAGTCAAAAGATGGCGACTCCAACAATAAACAACATACCCCCAGCGGGCATTGGAGTGTCAGCTTAGACTGTGTGATTCCAAGTCCTGACGTGGGGCTTTTTCCCCACAACCTTCTGACTTGGAGTTGCGAGTGTGACCAACTGAGCCAGGCTGACACATGAGTGCATCATGAATGAGTATAACACGCCAACTCCCTGCTTGTCGGCCTTCCCAACTCTTCTCTCCACAAGCTGCAGATCATCCAGAACTCTGCAGCTCATGTCCTCTCCTTACACTAGGCTCTGTGACTCCATCTTTGCCACTGACTCCCCATCCCTCAGAGGATGGAGTTCAAAATCCTGCTCCTCGCCTTCAAAGCCCTCCACCATCCTTGCTCCTTCCCATCACTGTGATCTGTTAATCCCATGTAGACCTGTCCGCTCCCTCTGCTCAATGGGCTGCTCCATGCCCCCCCCCCCCTCCCCCCCATGGCCCACCCCACCATCAATGGTCAGGCCTTCACCCTCTGCCCCCAAACTTTGGAACTCCATCTCACAGTCTCTTCCCATCGCCCCTTCTCTTCCTCGTTCAAGGCACATCTCAAGATCCTCCTCTTCGACCATGTCTTCGGTCACTCTCCTACCCTTTGTCACTGTGACATCCACCCACCACTGGGACATTCCCCACTGTGACATCCCCCCCCCCCACACACTGACATCCCCCCCACCCACTGTGACATCCCCCCACCCACCCACTGTGACATCCCCCACCCCACACACTGCGACATCCTCCCCACCCACTGTGACATCCTCCCGATAAAATCGCTGCAGTCTCCCCTCGTTGTTAAAATTATGTATATGAGGAAATAAAACACGCGGTCGGGACTTATCGATGGATTTAATGTGACTTACCTCGCAGAAGGCAAAGCCCACAGAATAAAGCTAAGTTAAGAAAGCAGTTGGGATCAGCCATTCCTCAGCCGTGAACTTTTCTCTCAACTTAGTGTGGTGGAATCTCACTGGAAATACCGATGAGATTCTGCAGCAAGTTTCGCTCAGACTTTATGTTGGAAACTCTTTGGCAAAGTGTCTGCAAGTTGTAAAAATAACCTTACACCCCTCACGCCACTCGCCCGACCCAATTGCAGCGATCTTGCGTCAGCCCTGATATGACTCATTCAACTTCCTATTTGCTCCACTCCCCAACGCCATGCACTTATGTAACCCCTCAAGGAGCCTCGTGGGGGTTTGACTGACTCAAACTATTATTAAGACAAAGCAACATTCAATCTTTTGATAAGAAATAAATTTAAGGGCTGCGGGACACTACCGCGCTATAAGGCGCTATATAAATGCAAGTTGCTGTTCGTACAGCAGAGATAGAACTGACGGCTGTGCATGAAAATCATTTCGTTTCAATTGTGCACTGTCACTATTACGAGTTCACTGCCAGGACTCCACTTATTCCTCACAAATATACAGTCAATTCACCTTACAGTCTATTCTGTGAAGCGCTTTGAGTTGTCCAGAGGACGTGAAAAGCGCTGTATCAACTGGAGAGACAATTATTATAACAACTGTCTGGTCTGATTTGTTCAGCCGCATCTCGATGCACGAGGAATTACGATAAAATCACCGCAGCTTTCCTCTTATTGATAAAATGAGGAAACAAAACACACTTAACAATGGATCCCTTATGATTTATGGTTAAAGTGGCAGCAGATTAATCTTGGCGTCAGGGTTTGTTTTTAACCTTGTAGAATTTAAATGCGTTCGCTAGCGACAGGAAGCTGTGATTTCTGCGTTGCCGCGAACCTCCGCAAATCAAACATGTCAATTTCTTGTCTGTTTCACAAAACGGCTTAATTTCCTCCCGGCGTTTTTCACAGTAAAGTTTGCTCTCCGCCTCGGACGGAGTCCGGCTTAAGACGCCGAGCTTTCTCTGCCAGACTCGCCAGGGCCGGACGAACCTTCGGGTTTACTTTCAGGAACGACTTGCCGGCGTTCCGGACAGGAGTTTGCCTCCTGCGATTCCCAGCTCCGTGCGACGCAGGAGTGGCAGAAGTTGTGGCCGCATTCCAGGATAACGGGATCAGCGAAGAGATCTGGACAAATAGGACAGGTTAAATCCTCTGTCAGACTGGAGTGTGCGGACACCATTCTCGCCTTCACTTCTCTCCTGGTCCAAACTGCTGTCAGTCACAGGGTTTACACAGTTCACTTCTGATTGACCATTGGAGTTGGGATTGTGAGCAACCGTCAGATTGTGCAATATCCCAGCCTGGACTCTGAGCTCCAGGGGTAACAATTTATTCCCAAAAAAATAAGAATAGTCGCTTCAATCCTCGGCTGTTTGTGTGGGACGCTGCTGCGCGCTATGGGCTGCTGCGCGTTTTGCCAACAAAATATACGGTCGATTCACTGAAGCGCTTTGAGAGACTGAGACACCGACAGTGTTAAGTGGTGCGGAGGGAATGTCGTCACTGTGTCTCCGTTTCTCACTTGTTTTCCAAGCCCTTCATCCCCTTGCACCTCCGACCTGCTTACCCTCTCAACCAACCCCTCCACCACCTGCTGCCTCCACTCGGCCGGCTCAGGCCTCCTGCTTGTCCCTTGTGCCCCCCCCACCCCCCCAACCCCGCTCCACCATTGGTGGCCACTACGCCCCAAAACTCTGGAACTCTCTCCCTCAATCCCTTCGCCTTGACCCTTCCCTTCAAATCCCGCCTGAAGACCTTCCTTTTAGACGGTGACCTCCCCCATCCCTCTCCCCCTGCCTCGGGGTCAGACTCCGCCACTGGCAAGCACTCCGTGTCGCTACCCCGCGTGAGGGGCGATGTATCAATGGAAGTTGTTGTTGTTGTTGTGTCTCTCACAGCGAAGGGGGACATGATGGACAGAGTTTCCTGTCTCCTGGTTGCTTTGATCCTCGCTGTGACCTCACACGCAACGCAAATCGACAACAATGTTCTGGAGAAGGTTATACACAAGTAAGTGAAGATTATTCCTGGACCAACGTGTGGGCTCTCTCACTCTCTCCATCTCTCCGTTTGTCTTTCTCTGTCAGTTTCTCTTTCTCTGTCAGTATCACTCTCTCTCTCTTTCACTCCCTCTCCTCCTCTCTGGCTGTTTCAGTATCTCTCTCTCTCTCTCTCTCTCTCCTTTGGTCTCTCTGTCTTTTGGAATATCTAAGTATCTCTGTCTGACTCTCTGAGTCTTTCTCTCCTTCTCTGTGTGCCTTATTCTCTCTCTCCCTCTCTCTCTCTCTCTTTGGATGTCCATCTCTCTTTCCCACTGTCCCTTTCTCTCAGTCACAGAATATACTGTAAAGTGTAGTGACTATGTATTTTGTGGGTGAAAGTCCTTTATTAACATTTTGATGGGAAATGGCTGTGATATTGGTAACTTGACAAGTTAAGCCGGAGGCCAATTATTCAGAGTTGACTGTATCTCACTTTCTATCTCACAATCTCGCAGTCTCTCTCTCTCTTTGTCACTTTCTCTCCTGCTGTTTCCTCCTTCTCAGTCTCTCTCACTCTCAGTCCATCTCTGGGATTTCCATGTGTAGGTGGGATGCATGGAATTCTCAGTTGGGTTTGGAGGCTCTTTAGCGTTGTGATGCGTTTCTGCCTCTCAGTATCTCTGTGTATCTGATTCTCTCTCTCACACTCTCTGTATCTCTCCCTCTCTCACCCCCGTTACATCACCCTTCTGATCCCCCTATTTCACTTTCGCTTTGTATCGCTCACTCTACTGCTCTCCCTCTCTCTCTTACCCCCATTACGTCACCTTCCTGAGCCCCCCTCCCTCTCTCCGTTGTGCCCCCCACCCCGCAGCTTTCTCCAAGCCTCCAGTGGGGGTGAAGGGCAGATCGTGGGGCTGGTAGCCCTGACCCCAGAGCAATGCGCCAGCCCAGAGACAGATATGTGGAAGGGCACAGAGCAGCCCTCGCCCTCTCTCCTCGACCCAGCTCAGCAGCAGTGAACAGCGGCAGAGCACAGACCTCTGAACCACCTGATGGTCCATATGGACGCTGGCCAGAGTTGTGCAGAGTCTAAAATCTTTAACGTCCTGGTTATAATAATAATAATAATAATAATCCTTGCATTTGATATAGCCCATTTCACGTCGGGAGGACGTCCCAAAGCGCTTCACAGAACACACTGTAAAGTGAATTGACTGTATATTTGTGGGCGAAACGCGGCGGCCAATTGCGCACAGCAATGTCCCACAAACAGTCATGGATTGAAAATGACCAATTTATTATTGTTTTTGGTTTTGGAGGGATTATTATTAGGCTCTGTGTGGAGTAAGGAAACTTGCTCGAGGTTTGGCCCTCTGCCTGGAATTGAACTCAGGTCTCTCGCTTGCAAAGCGAGTGCTCTAACCACTGAGCCACAGGACTCTGGTTGACCAGATCACAGGGGCTCAGCTGTTTGGGGACAGCGTTGGTGGTGGGGGCTGTGTTGTGGTGTATAGTTCCAGCCCACGCTGCGTGGCTGCATGCCAGACACTGGGACAGGAGCCAGTCGCAGCTGACAAGTTCCTCGCTGAACCCTTCAGCAACTGGGGATCTGACAAGAACATCCACAAGTACCTCGTGTTTGGCTTTGCACAGCTTCCCCCTTCCTGCCATCCCCCTGACCTCAGCCCGGCCATGCAGAAGCTCTCCGAGCCCCCTGGCTCCATCCTGGTCAAGATGTGCTCTCTGGGGGGGCGGGGGGGGGGGGGGGGGGGGGGGGGGTGGGGGGGCAGTGCTAGCAGTGCCAGGCTCCAGAGTACTGCCTGCAAGTTGCGGACTCTGTAAGCACTCCCCCGCTACAAGAAATTTCTCAGGCACTAGCCATCCCCCCCGCAAAATCCGGACTTTCCAGTTGTGGTCAAGAAATGAAGCATCTTAGGAGACTTATGTGTAAAATGAGGGATCAGGGAGAAGACATCGTCATGAGGGTAAGAGGTCGCTGGACCAGACATCACAGTAAAGTGGGTCGTAAGAAAGGGGGCCATGGGGGTATATTTAGAGGTGGAAGAGGGGGCCGTGGGAGTTTATTTAGAGGTGGAAGAGGGGACCGTGGGTGTATATTTGGAGGTGGGAGTCGTAGGGAACAACGTAAAAGTATGAATAAGAGAGTTAACCGAAGAGGACAAAACAATTAGTTGGCGGGAATTCATTCTTGGGGGCGGGGGGAACAGTTTGCGCAGAATAAAATAATTGTAGGGAGGAGCTAATTATGGGAGGAACTAATTGTAGGAGGAATTCATTATAGGAGAGGAACCAATTGCAAGGAGGAACTAGTGGGAATCAATTAGGGATGAATTGTGGGAGTTAATTAATTATTAAATTGGGAGGAACTAATTGTAGGGATAATCTATTTATGGGAGGAGTGGGGGCTGAATTAATTGTGGGGAGGAAGTTATCTAATGGGAGGAATTAATTGTGAGGGAGGATCAAATCATTGGACAAATTAATTGTGGGGAGGATCTAATTGTAGGAGGAACTTCTTGTTGGGGATGAATTAAATGCAGAGGGTGGAGCGGAATAATTGGAGGAACGAATTCTGCAGGTGGGGGGGGGGATGAATTTACTGGGGGAGGAAGTTATCGTATGGGAAGAGAGAATGGTAGGAGGAACTAATCATAGCAGGATCTAATCATGGGGCAGGAACTAATTGTAGGAGGGACTGGTGGTAGGATAAGAACTAATCGCAGAAGGAACTAATCATAGGATCAAGACGATTTATAAGGCAGGAACTGTAGGAGGAACTCAATGTCGGGGGAATTAATTGTTGGAGGAGGAACTAGAGGCATAGAATCATAGAGCACAGAGGAGGCCATATGGCCCATCGTGCCTCTGCCAGCTCTTTGAAAGAGCTACCAACTGGTCCCACTCCCCCGCTCTTACTCAGTAGCCCTACAATTTTTTTTCCTTTTCAACAACAACAACTTGCATTTATGTAGTGAACCTCATGCAGGGTATCTTCCCAGAACGCTTGACAATGGCGCAACGTCCGGGCAAAGTACATATCAAATTCCCTTTTCAAAGCAACTTCCATCACTCTTTTGAGGCAGTGCATTCCAGTTGTAGGATAAGAACTAATTTATAGGATAAGAACTAATTATAGGATAAGAACCAA